GAAGTCTGTGTCTGTCTTGTTGGGTTGCAGAACCAAACCAGACAGTTATAGAGGTGCAGATGACAGACTCAATAATTGATGGGTGGCTGCAGTTTGCATCCTCCTGTGGGTCTTCTCCCCACTCCCCCAATCTGTTTGCTTTGCTTCATTTTCAAATCATCCATTTTTTCATCCTGTCTTTTTATGCTGGTGTTTTTTTAAAAAATATGTTTATCCTTTGTAGTTGGTATGCCTTGAATCGACTACAGAGAGAGAGGAGGGAGGGCCAGTTTGGTTGTAGGGATTGAATTAACACCGGCTTAGAAACTGGGAGACTGTGAATCAGAATAATACAGCTTAGAAGGAACCTTGGAGATCTTGTAGCCCAGCCCGCTGCTCAAGCAGGAGATCCTATACTATTTCAAACAAGGGGATGTCCACTCTCCTCCTCTTCTTCTGTGTTCTAGTCCTGCCTTAGGTATGAAGCCAGGTGGTTGATCATGGGCCAGTCACATTCTCATACCTAGCACTAGTGATGTTACCTGGTTTGAGTAATAAAGTGTCTGCAAAGTAAACAACCAAGCTCAGAGAGCATTAAGAACCCCACAGTCATCCTCCTCCTCCCTGCAAACCCCACACCCTTTTAGCACTGATGACGTTACCTAGTTTGGGAACTGAAACATCTGCAAGGAAAGGTCAAAGAGCACCAAGGACCCCACAGTTCAACCCTGAGCTACAAAGGTTTGTCTTGAGTGACACATTCTCTTAGTCTTGGGAAAGAAGAAAGGGCAAATCAATTAAAAAAAAAAACCTTGCTAAGAAAACTGCAGGGACCTGTCCAGACAAATAGCCAAGAATCAAGAGTAACTTGAAGACACACAGACACCAAAAATTCCCACCAGCCAAGAAACCGTCAGCGGTTAGCAAGGTAGTTGCTAAGGGTCCAAAACTATTTGAAGAACCTAAATATATGTAGATATGTGTGTCAGCTCAGGGCAAAAAAGGCCTAATACTGCTGCCTCTTATTTTTTCCATTACAACCACCCTGTGAAGTGGATTGGTCTGAAAGAGAGGAATTTCTAGTCACCTAGTTGTGAAGTATACTCTGTCCCGTAATTGGGTAGACCAGGTTGCCCTGACAAAAAACAGGTAAATCTTTTCCCTGGAATAATCAGCAAAGGGAGGAGAGGCCATGGCTTAGAGGTTAATACATCTACCTTATATGCAAGTAGCCTGGGTTTGAATCCCAGAAAGGTATGGCTAGCTGATGAGAACTGCTAGGTTGGAAGAAGCTGGGGCAAATAACGGGAGCTCACTCCGTTATGCGGCACTAGGGATTTGGACCATCGAACTGCTGACCTTTCGATCAACAAGCTCAGCGACTTAGCCACTAAGCCACCATGTGCCCAGATCTATATTAGTCTTCCTTTATTTCTTTGTCGGTAAAACATAAATCCAACTCACCTTGTCATACTTAAGGCAACATCTCTTGGTGATTGACCCAAAGTCACCGAGTTGGCTTTCATGTTGGCTGGAACACCATCTCCTGGTTTCTTCCGGGCCAGCCCCTTCACCCTTACATCAAACTGGCTCTTAATTAAATAAGTAGGGTTGCTGTGGTTAAGATCCCCATGATCTTGAGTATTGGCTTACTTTGAGAGGTTCATTTTCATTGATAGACTGACTGGGGTTTGGGGCTTCAGGGGCCTCACATGAGCCATGTTGAGGGCAGGCAGGGATAGGAGATCATAATTTCTCATTTTTAATTTAGGACTATGGGCAGTGTAAAAACAATGTTTTCAACAGGATTTTTTAAAAAGGAACAATACATTATAAAGATTTGGCAATGGTTTTTATTTGCCAGGGTGTATTGTGAAAAATAGAGTAAAACATTTGAGAATTTTGTATTCCCTACCTATTACATCATAATTACTACTGCAGTGTATCATTCTTGATTAGTTAATTATAATTACATCATTTTACATGTTGCAACTTGGGTAAGCAAAAGCAATGAATGGATATATAAGTTATGAAGCATTAATAGTATTATTTCATTGTATCCTGCCTCCAGCGCCTTCTGCTCTCTTTCCTTGTACCCTACTTTATATTTTAGTAATATATGACTTATTCTTTCCTAAAGAGACCTCTGCTTTGCTTTGTATGCTAAAACCTATAAAGTGGGGTTTTACTTGATTCTTGCCTGTTGCAAATCAAGCAAAGCTCTTGGCAGGTAGGAAAAAGATAACTTGAGGCATTCTGAATAACTAAGCAAGCTCAAAAGTCTGATTAAAAAGAAAGTTAGTCTACCAAGTAGCCTTAGGGATCTGGGAATTTTAAAGGTAGAGATCAGGACACAAAAATAGGGCCCAATACGTTTTGTCGCCTTACCATAGCTGAAGGAATAGAATGAAGGGTTTATTTGAAAGGTCTTAATTTCCAAATAATAGTAAATAGTAAAATGTCTTCTCATTTACCAAACCCCAGTCTCCCCCCCACCCCACAGACATTATTAAGAGGTCCTTTCTCTAAATTTTATGGGATATGGAGAAAGTTTCCGTACCTAAGAGCTGGGAAATATAGATGCATATATTATTGATATGTTTTTTTGTTATATTTGTTTATGCATGTTTTTTTTCTCCATCAAATTATTTTCCACTCTGCTAACTATATTAGTTTCAGTTTGCGCAGTAGGATTAATTAATTCATAGCCAGGACCTTTTTAAATAGTTTGCTTCCTCAGACTGATTTGAAAGTGGCACTATTCTGATTTATGCCAGACTGCTCATTTGTATTAAGGTGTGTGAAATTAATATTGCAGATAAGTCAGCTCAGATGGCATAATTTTGGCACCTGAACCCGTTGATGCTTATGGAACCCCTCTTACCCATAACTGATCACATGAAGGAATCCTTAACATCCCAGAGTGCCATTCCTACATATGTATACTAACAGTAACTGTATCTAGTAGCATTTATACAGTATGCTGTAAGTAATGCCTTTATTTGTACATGATTTTCAGGTCCATTTTAAAAGGGGAGCAGACTGAGAGATCATAATTTTTTGGCTTACGTTGGTAGATTCAATAATTTTATTTACTATAGAATAATTAAAAGAATTTAGCTTTATTTTGAGATTAAGTTTTGATTTACAAATGTGCATGTGTGTAGCAAAGCCTCCAGGTTCTACAAATATTTTAGATAGAGCATAATAACTTTTTAGTGTGGTACTACTAAATTATGACACACCATTGGTTCAGATGATCTTCAGTTAAGTTCTAGCAATGGCACTTTAAACTTAAATGTTAATGCACATTTTAACAGAGATCATTGTTTATCTTTTCACATACTTATCAAACAGAATATTTAAAGAATGGGAAGGATTACATTGTGTGATGAGCAAATCAAAGTTTCCTTATTGCTTGGCATTATTTGTTTATTTAACAACATGCCTACCGTTTTATGTATTTTATTTTATTTGTATTCTGTTATATAAGCTCCCCGTTGGGAGAGCGAGTGTGAAGCGTTGGGAGAGTTGTGTGGAAGCACACACAAACCAGCATACAGAGACACTGCAGTTTAAATAGGCTTTTATTTTCATGGAAATAGAGGTATCAGGGTCTATCAAACAATCCAAGTCATACACAGATAAGGCAGTCAGTTATCAATGTCCTTCAGTTAAGGGATAATCCAAATAACATAGTCCAGTATCATATATTCAGTTCAGTACACAAAGTTTGCTAGCAGTTGCAAAACTTACAATAGCTTACGGCACTTTCTAACAGCCAGCTTCCAAAAAACTCAGATCAGAGCAGCCCAGCATCTAACAAACAGAGAGCTAATAGTCATTCTGGCTTCCTCTTTCGGCTGATTGTACAATACAGCAACCAATCATATTTTACAGTATGATTTAAAGAAACAGATATAGCATTGATACATGATTTATATATTGCCAACCCAACCATTAGATTATATTCCTAACATATTCCACCTTTATTTTTACAAACAACTCAGTTAAACTTGTACATATTAAATTAAACTTATGCATAAAAAGTTGTGCTTTTTTCTTTTGTAGTTGGAAAGACCTCCTTAATCACTAGATTTATGTATGACAGTTTTGACAACACTTATCAGGTAAGTTTCAGAAAGATGTTCCCTTGTACCCTTTCAGATTAATTATCAGACTACTATAATCATGAGAGGCTATACTTCTTGATAAAATAAGTTCACTGCAGTCATATTTTTTTCATTTCAGGAAACGCATGCTAAAGCATAACTAATTTCCAATCATTTAAATCACACAAAAGCTGTGAAAGTCACATGTTGTTCAGATTAAAATTGTAGATGAAACACATCAAAGAGGGCTAGTCACAGGGCACTCAGTAAAGATTTGATTAAACTGAAGTTTTCCTGTTCCTGCTGCCTGACATGCAAAGGTAGTATCTGATCATCTATATCATCTGGAAAAAAAACTGATTTCAAGTTTCATGTAACTTGCAAAACACAACTTTTATGCCACTAACTGCAGCTAACCCTCATTTAACTATGGTAATCAGGACCGGGAATTCTGTTTCTAAGCCACATTGTCATACTTGTGATGTTACATGACTGTGCAGCCTTAATGATAGACGTTCCAGTTGTGTTCAGGCAACTTTTGTGCGGCATTAAGTGCCATGCCATATGATCATCATTTGCAACCTCCCACCAGTTTTCTCCATTGACTTTTCTGGTCAGAAGCCAGCAAGGAAGTTCGCAAATAGTGATTCCCATGGTCATGGGACACTGGGATGGCCATAATTGCCAGACGGTTTCCAAATGTCCAAATTGTGATCAAGCGAATGCTGCATCAGCTTGCCACTTGAAAGTCTGTACAGTAAGTTTCCTTGTTCAGCTCCGTCATAACATGGAATGGTCGCTGAACACTAAAAGGACGCCAGCTTCTAAGTCAGAACCTAGCAGAGTTTTATTTGAGCATCCTGTTTTATATAAATACCAACATACAGTTTCTTAGACTGTTTAAGATACCGTATTTTTTGGAGTATAAGACGTACCCTTTTCCCTCAAATAAGAGGGTAAAAATCTGGGTGCATCTTATAGACTGAATGCAGCATTTTGGCCTACCGAAACCCCACCCCCATTGCAAAAATGGAGGTGCAGAGGGTTTGGGAGGCTTGCAAAGTGCAAAACCTTTTTTTAAAATTTATTTATCTCTTAAAACTCATGGTATGTCTTATAGTTTGAAAAAATACAGTAAGTGCTTTTTGAGAGTCTACCCAGCACCAAAGTGTATTTGCAGTGCTTCTTTGGGGACAGCATAGACGTTTTTTAGTTGCCCTTTTCCGGAGAGATTTTCGGTCTCTGCATAAGAACAGAAATTAATGCAATTAATAAGAATTTAATCTTGCACAAATCCATAACACTCTTAGTCTAAAACAGGGGTGTCAAATTCAAGACCTGCGGGCCAGATCTGGGGCTTGAGGTGGTTTGATCTGGTCCCTGGGGCCACCCTGGAAATAGCAAAGGACTAACCCGTGGGGCCTCTGCCAGTGAAAACAGCTCAGGAGGGCCATATGCGGTCCTCCCGAGCTTTGTTTCTGCTGGTAGTGCACTTGGGCCACCATAGGCACCCCCTACCCAAGTGACATTGAGCTGGCCACGCCCACCCTGGCCCCCAAGGTCAAACAACCCTGATGCAGCCCTCTATGAAATCAAGTTTGACACCCCTGGTCTAAAACTGCAGTGTCGTTCCAAAAATTGTCGATCCTCATCTATTAAATATCATGGAAATATATTTAATATTCTGTTACGGTTTGTGAACCGTGAGATGGATTTAAAATAATACTACGTATGCCTATTATTATTTTTGTGTTCAGTATTCTCTGATTTCCAACCTCATGTTCCCTGCCGTGCTCTTTTTAAATAAAGATTGTTTTTATGGTTCAAAATATGAATCTTTTCTCATTTTTCCAGGCCACCATCGGAATTGATTTCCTTTCAAAGACTATGTATTTAGAAGACCGCACGGTAAGTGGAGTTATCTGTTAAGGTTTGACTGATTCATCTCTCTTCACAATCCCATAGTACTTTTCCCCCATCAACATGATCTGCAGCTTGAATCTCCAGGAGGGAACCTAGGGGTGCCAATGTGCCCATAGATATTCTTTGAACTCTCCTCTGTTTTCTCCCCTGATTAAAAAAGTTGGAAGTTTTCAAAAATGGAAGATGGCACATCGAAATCATTTTCATTCCATAAAGACATTTACCCTTAGATTTCCAACTTTTGCCTGGATAGTTTTCAACTTGCCCTAAGAAAGACCTAAGCACAGCATGGGAGGTAAACAAATTATTTTGTAAATAGTTGTATCCTCTGGAACAGGGGTCTCCAACCTTGGCAACTTTGCTGGCTGGGGAATTCTGGGAGCTGCAGTCCACAAGTCTTAAAGTTGCCAAGGTTGGAGACACCTGCTCTGGAAGCCGTGACTCCCACTTTCTATTCAGTAATCATTTTATGAAGATTTCCATAAACATGGTTTCAAAATAATCCCCCCCCCCTTCAGTCTATAGGAAGAAAAAAATGCCAGATAATATAGTTCATTGACGCCCATTTTACAATCTGTGATTGGATACTGGCAGCTTGGTGTGGCAATTTCATTGTTTTATCATTGGTCCAGATTTCAGGCTTGCACTCCTGAATCTCCTTTAAGGGGTTAGTAAGATACTCTTTCAAGGAGGAGGAGAGAAAGGGCATGTAAGATCAGATTCTATTAAGATTCTATTAAGCTTGCAAATCAGACTGGCTACAATAGAGGCAGGGATGGGATTTGGCTGGTTTGGATGAACCGGTAGCTTTGATGATCAGCTGGGAGTGAACTGGTTTGCTCTGACAATCAGCTGGCTCCGCCCCTGTTCTATCCTGTCCTTTATTTCCGGCTTTCTAGCTCATCTCAGTTGCGCGTGACAACTTATTTCCCCCGCCCCCCAGCTGTTTTACTTACCGTTGCTGACTTGGGAAGGTAAGCGGCTGAGCTTCTACATGCTCCATTTTCAGTGCTGTGCGCGCAGGCAAAGCACACATGCGCAAAAAGCAAGCGCTCACCGAACCAGTTGTTAAACCGGCAGCATCCCACCACTGAATAGGGGTCATTTTTCTCTCCAGCCTCATGGCCCTGCCTTTTATTGTATCTGGTGTATGGTCCAGTCTGCTAATTTAATAGTGCCAATAATGGAAAGAAAAAAACCTTCTGAAGACCAACTATTCCTATGGATGAAGGGCAATCTGACCTCGTGGATGAAGTCTAGATTGATAATTCCTTTGCCATACAGCAAATATGATGCCTGACCCGGTACAAAGCTAGATCTCTTTGTCCAAATACTTTTCGATGAGGTCAGATTGCCCTTGTCTTACTCAGGCTACCTCTTACTCAGTCTGAAGAAGCCATACCTTGAATATTACTTTGTTTTTTAAATCTTAAAATTAATCTTACCAGGAACATTGTGATTTGAGTTTTCATCTTAGCCAGAAGAGAGATTTTATACAGTAATATAAGGGAGGAATTCAATTTTACAGGGCAAGATAATTCTTGTCTTAAGTTGTCGTCTTGCCCAACAATAGATTTTTTTTACAATTGTGGATATTTTGAATGTTCAACAATAGCCTCCATCCACCAATAGCCTCCATCCACCAACTCGGTGAGTGCAGATATGTTGAAGTATCTTGAGCCACTTCCTGACAGACCGTAGGGTGAACAGCAGTTTTTCTCATTGTGTGTCTCTTGTCTGTGGGTAATGAGTTTTGTCTTCATGATTGACTAGCTTAGCACAGTAGAACCAGGAGAGAAGTTGCACAACAGAAGCAATTCCGCTATGGCTCCAATGGACTTGTAGTTCATGAACCCGGAATAAAGTATAAGGAAAGATAATAGTAGAAGGTTCAAGCCAAATGGTTCATGGAATTGGTGGGGGTGGGAACATAAAGGCTACCAGGCCTTTCATAAAGAGTTCCATCTGGAGGAATAGATGACAAAAGGCTTTTTTTTGTTTGCTTATTTAGAAAAAAAAAATACGTTCCCATTTTCAGTTTTACGCTACATTTTAGTTTCATTTTAACTTCCCTCTTATTTATTTGCATTGTTTCTTTTGAATGTTGTCATTTTTTTTAATTTCACATGCGTTTTGCTTTATTTTATTTTTTGTCCATATTCCTGCTCTTCTCTTTCCTCCTCTCCACCCTCCCCCACTCCCCCCACATTTTCTCTTTTCCCAGATCAGGCTGCCGATGTGGGAGAGGGGAGATTCCGCAGCCTCATTCCCAGCTACCTCCGGGACTCTGCTGAGGCTGCCATTGTCTTTGACCTGACAAGTAGGTATTGGGGTTTAAGCGCAGCAGGCCCCTTGCTCTGATCAAGGGATGAACTGAGTTCTAGTCCTCAGGAAGCAGCCAGGACTCTGTTTACCCCACAAAGAGAGGCAGTGTTCCATGACATTCAAGCTATGGCAGGCAGTTGAATAGAATCTCTGGCCACGAATAAATGGGCAGGTTTGGTCCTTTATTTTATTTTCCATATTTTTTGGAGTATAAGACACTCTGAAGTATTAGATGCACCTAGCTTTTGGGGAGGGGGAAAAAAATCTGCCTCTGCCTCCCAGCAATTTGCCTCCTTGCAGCAAAAAGCCTGTTTCAGTTTCAGCACAGCCTGATTAGCACAAGCAGCTGATTGTCTGTTGGGTCAGCTTCCCAACCATCAGCTATTTCAGGCTGCAGGGATTGCCATAGCCTATTGCCGTCTCCGCACGACCCATTTTCCACCCCTTCTGGGCGGCAGGGATCGAAATGGGCAGAAAACGGGACGCGCATAGGCTGAAAACTGAGGGTGCAGAGGCAGCAATGGCAATCCCTGCAGCCTGAAACAGCTAAAGGGCGGGAGGCCGAGTGAGTTTAGCCCCGTTTTATGACCTTTCTTGCTGCAATTGTTAAGTGAATCACTACAGTTGTAAAAGTTAGTAGGACGGTTGTTAAGTGAAACAGGTTTCCCTGTTTACTTTGTTTGGAAAAAGGTCTTAAGAAGTAATCACATGACCCTGGGTCACTGCAACCATCATAACTATGAGCCGGTTGCCAAGCATCTGAATTTTGGTCACATGGACTACAGGGATACTGCAACAGTTGTGTGAAAAACGGTCATAAGTCAATATTTTCGCTGCCTTTGTAACTTTTAATGGTCACTAAACATTGTCAGTCAAGGACTGCCTATACAAGAAAAAAAAAACAAGGATTGTGTGGGAACATTTAGCTTTGACATTTTGGTTGGCTTTATTTGAAAGCTGAATTGTTTTCTCTTATTCCTCTGCTGTTGACAATTCTGTATACATTTTAATATTTTTTTTGCCTGTATATTTCCCCCCTTTATTTGCTGATATATTTTGATTCACCCTTCATCAAAAACTGTTTTAGTGTGGTTCATGCTTACTTGAGAATTGCAAAAAGAAAACTTACAAGTTTGTTGTTAGGGCAGAAAAACGTTGGTTAACTGAAAGTTATGAGCTCAGACCACTCCATCCCAACCTCAGATCCTTCTGCATATTCCAGAAGTCATCCAAATTGGCTTATTCTAAGCGATCTAGAACCTGGAATATGTTGATACTTTTACTAATAACAGCACTAGCATCTGGATTTATATACTACTTCACAGTGCTTTACAGCCCTCCCTTAAGAGGTTACAAAGTCAGCATATCACCCCCAACAGTCAGGTCCTCATTTTACCAACCTCCGAAGGATGAGTCAACTTTGAGCTGGTCAAAGGCTGTGGACAGACTTAAGCCTGCAATACCCCACATTCTAACCACTCTGCCACAGGGGCTCCCATAATCGTATAAAATTTAAATTAAAGCTATATTTACAAACTATTAGATGGGCAAGAGTCAACTTAATATCTTAGTTAAGGCACAGGGCCAGAAATTATTATTACTCCTGAATAACCAAACCAGCTAGGAGATTTTGGCCAATCACTCCTCTTTCAGCCTTGAATTACAATGGAAAATCACTTCAAAAATCTTGCAAAAAATCCCCTGCACCCCCTCCAAAATTCTTTATGTACCCTGTTTCCCCAAAAATAAGACCTCCCCGGATAATGATCCCAATTGGCCATTTGAGCGCATGCACTAAAATAAGCCCTCCCCCGAAAATAAGCCCTCCCTGAAAATATTGCAACACAGCAGCAGCCATGAGGTGACCATGCTCACTGCCTCAAAAATAATAAGACCTCCCCAAAAATAAGGCCAAGCGCTTATTTCGGGGGTCAAAAGAAAATAAGACCTTGTCTTATTTTCAGGGAAACACGGTAATTAATAGGCTCATCTTGAAGATGTAAAAAATTGATGCAAATATTGGTTTGTACAAAATGGTTCCTGTTTGAGGAAGCAGACAGGTACTGTATCTTGAAGGTCTTCCAGGGCAAACCTTGGTTTATTTCCTCCCATAATTATCAAGTCAGAACAGTCTTTAGCAAAACAGCTCTTCGCCATATGTAGCTGTTTTTTTAATTTTTATTGTTCCTGGTAAATATTCAAAAGATAAAATTTGTTGGTTACCATTGCAAAACATGCTTAAGGAGACATTATACTTTTTTTTCTTATCTATCTGGAGAAATTGTTGAAAAAGATGCTTGGGTGTTGAAAATATTCCTGTTTTAAATATTTAAGGCTCCCTGGAAAATGGGTGTTACTGGAAGACTTGGTGGGATAGAGCAAGGATCCTCAAACTTTTTAAACAGGTTTAATTCACAGTCGCTCAGACTGGTGGGGGTGGGGGCGGACTATAGTTTGATCTGCCTAATGACCGGCTAGGTGGGCATGGCTAGGTGGTCGTGTGACTGGGTGGGTGTGGCCAATTTAGCAGTCCATTTTGCCTTTGTCCTTCCTAAACTGTATTTGCTCAACCCCAGGCATCTATTGAGCACTAGCTGTTAATCCGGTGTTGTCCAGGTATTTGTTTATCTCGATCCTGTAGTAGACATTCACAATGGTCCAGACCAAACGTAATTTCTAATGTTGGACTTTCCCCCGTACCAGAGGGAACCCCCTTGTGGAGTACCATGGCAACTCCACTGCGCTGTACAGTAGAAGCCATTTTAAGGCACAACAGGCTGTATCTTAACAGAACACACACACCAAGCGGTGTTAGGGGTGTCTTTCCCCCCACAGTATTTTTTTTCTAGAGAGTAAGTCATCTGTGTACCAAGTTTGGTTGAAATTGCTCGAGGCATTCCAGAGTTATGCTGGAACATACATACATACAGCCATTTATAGATAGATAGAAGATAGATAAAGTGATGATTATGATATTGCCATAATATCTTCCACTAGAGATATCTCTGCCGATGAATGCATGCCGGTTTAAGCAGAAGCTTTTAAAAAGAGAGTCTAGACAGCTAGCTGACTGAAATGGTGTAGAGTTTACTGCTTGAGCAGGGGGTTGGACTAGAAGGTTCCTCCAAGGTTCCTTCCAATTCTGTTATTCTGAGAAGGGCAGGTGACCATCTTCACAGGTATTTTGTAGTTCAGACCTTATTGGTGACCACGTGACCTTGGAAACATTGCAGTGTTGTAATTGGGAGGCACATTGTGATCACATGACAAGGGACATGCTGCAGCTGATGTAAACTTAGGACCAGTCATAAGTACCATGGTTCAGTGCTATAAGAAGGTTAGCCACTAAACGAGTGGTTGTTTTGAACCACTCGTTTAGAAGTGATTTTGAATGAAGTTCCAGGGTTGCCCGTTGGACCATTTTTCTCCCTCTGGAGGCTTTTGGGGGCTTTCCTGAAGCCTGTGGAGGGCTAAAAACTGCCCAATGCACTTTCCTGAAATCCAGAGGCTTGAGTGAGGCCATTATGGGTGTGGGCACACATGCGTGACCCTCCACACTCCCCAAGCTTTTGGCACGCCTCAACAAAAAGGTTAGCCATCACTCTTACAGGTCATCTAGTCTATCCCCCCGCATCACGTCTTCTGACTTCTGAGCCTCCTGGCTTCTGGGCCTGTCAGCTGAAGTTTTAAATTCTTATTCAGTGCGCATCCTCCAACCAGCTCAGTAGAGTAATGTCATCTCATACTTTTTCCACTCTGAAATCTTTATGGCTAAGCAGGGATTTTCTTTGCCTGATCCTCTTATTGTTACGCCTCTTTTCATTATCCCAGAAGTACACAGCATCATGTGTTTTACAGGAGGAAACCTTTTCCCTATTTGCATGCTCAAAAATAAGAAATTTGGTTCCACTTTATAGGGAAGGTTAGCTTCTATGAATCTGTCAGATTTCTAGTAGTGGTTGTATGGAAAATCGAACATGCGGTCCTGCGGTGTTGCTTTCAACCCAGAGGAAATAGATTTTCTAGGAAATAATGACTTTTTGAAGGAAGTTTTTCTCATATACCCCCCATTGTTTTATAGTAGCCAAAGATAAAGTAGTTCATGATTCTGTAATTAATCTTAACCTGTATCACTGGCATTCTCATTTGTCTTGATGGAGAGTTTTTGGAGTGGATTTATTAGATAGCAGAGAGCAGTAGCCTGTGATGTAAACATTTTTTTGTATTTTGGATGGCCCATGCTGCATTTTCTGATAAGATATTTCTATGCAATTCTATAGAATTCCTTCTAATGCATTGCCTTGTCTCTAAAGGACATTTTCTTTTTCCCCTTCTTCTGTTTCCTTGTGTCTTTCTGTTTCTTCCCTGGGCTGGTACCAGCAGGTCCGACTTCAACTTTGGGACACAGCAGGCCAGGAACGATTCCGTAGCCTCATTCCCAGCTACATACGTGACTCAACTATTGCCGTGGTAGTCTATGATATTACAAGTGAGTGAGAGAGATTTGTGTCATGGTGTACCAAAACACTTTGTTCCAGGAGAAATCGGAGCCCAGAAGCCCTGAGTCATCCATGAAGGCTCAGTGGACACAGCTCAGGTGATGCCAGGTTGACAAGCAGAAGGCCTGAATGCCTTTTGCCCTGGGCAGAGAACCATCCTGAAGCTGGCTTTGTTTGTTTGTTTATATGTCATATTTCTAACCCAACCATCTCTCCCAAAGAGGGACTTTGGGCAGTGAGCAATATTATATAACCAGTAAATAAAACAATGCATGACAATTAACGTTCGAAATTAAGAATTAAGAGTTAAACCTTTCAAAATTATAGAATAATGGCGAAAGGGGAAAATCTTAAAATGACCCTTTAACGTTGGATTATTACAAGTCCGGAGTGGGGAGGGGTTGCTCTCAAGGGATTAGCCAGCCCCACTGTTGAGAGGTCCTCTGTGCCCCCACACATCTGCAGAGTGAAGGGTTGACCGCTTTGTGGAAAACCAAGAGCTCTGTGGCTTTCCTCGCCTCTGGGGGAAACAAAATGTTGCATGAAGTGGACGCAGCAGCAGAGCAAGCTTTCTTCCTAAGCCCTGCCAGTCAAAATTCTTTGATTGGCGGGGTCTGTAGCATACCTTCCCTGCCTGATCTAGTGAGACAGGCTGGTGAGATACGAGGGAGCCGCTTTGGTAGATCTGAATATTTGGTAGGTTGTCAGGGTTCCAAAGCTCATCCAAAATTAAATCAGAGTTCAAGGCAAAGTTTTGCTCAAAGTTCCAGTTTATTAAGAGAGCCATGTTGGCACATCTGGCAAAAACAGGAATCTGAAAGCTTCCCACTTTTCCCCGTCCAGTTGAAAGTTCAAGAACTTGCCCCCACACCCACAAGTCCATCACATGGTATAATCTCCCACTGCCATGCTGGTTCCACCCATCCAGTTCCGGCCAGGTGCAGAGACAAAGAATGACCTTGACTTTCTAGAAAGAATTTTGTTATAGCTACATAGCCTCTCACTCCTTACAATCCCCCCTCCCATTTTCTCACAATAGAAAACGCATAGTAGAATAATAGAAAGTGTGGCAGGCCAAAGATCCAAAAGAAAAGATGGCTGCAGGCCTGACATAGGTGTTAATTCTGTTCTTTGACCCGACCGTAGTGCCTTGAGCTACCTTCTCCTTGCAGATCTGAATTCCTTCCAGCAAACCTCCAAATGGATCGATGATGTGCGAACAGAAAGAGGAAGTGATGTCATCATCATGCTGGTGGGCAATAAAACTGACCTTGCAGATAAAAGGTAATTGTAGAGTTTGAAAAGAGAATGTTTGGGGTGGGGGAAGGGGACGATGTACTAGAAAAATGTGTGGCCAATATTTGGAAACGCCAAAGAAGCTGCATTCCATCCACAAGTTGCTGAATCCCCAAAATTCTTCTCTCTTGAGTATCAGTTTGGGGCTGTTGGGAGCATTGCAATAGCACTTAGACTTATATACCGGTTCACAGTGCTTTACAGCCCTCTCTAAGCAGTTTACAGACTCAAGAATATTGCCCCCAACAATCTGGGTCCTTAGTTTACCGACCTCGGAAGGCTGAATCAACTGTTAACTAATCAGAATCAAACTCCTGGCAATGAACTGAGTTAGCTGCACTACTGCATTCTAACCACTGTGCCACCACAGCTCAGCAATGCCTGGAAGACCACAGATTTTCTCTACTATTTGGCATGCAGAAAAAGTCTTTTTCTTTCCTTTTTCATCAAAAGAGCAGAATTAAATATTGGAAAGGACCTGGCAATATCAGAGGTAATGCTGTAGTGAAATTAGTGACACTAATTTATTTTCTTTTATCTCCAATTATTGCAGCTTGCTCTACCAGCACAAAAATGTTATTCATGGACCTTAGTGCCATTCCTATTATTTTTCACATCTAATTCTTCAAGTGTGTTTTCCTTCTTCCACCAGTGAAACTCCCAGGGAGGCTTACATAGATCAGTGATAAATTCCTTCCAGCTTTTAATGCAAAATTCATGGCATGTAAGAAAAGCAGTAGGAACAGGAGAAGAGGGAGACACACTATTGATGGAATACAGCTGCCGTTGAGAGATAGAGTAGGGCAAAAGGCCTCGCTTCTTTCCCTTAAATTATACTGTCTTTTGGAAAAGCAGGATCAATTGTTCCTTGCTGTGCATCTTTTCATCTTTCTTACGTTAAGAGTTTATATTGGAGATTATCTAATAGGTATGTCCAACCATGTTCTCAAGCTCTGTTTTTTAATGCGGGAGGCGAAATTTCTGATCACGGCACAGTAAAATCCTCACTAGGTCATTGTGAGTATGCGTTTATGTGTTGTTCATTGTTATTCAGCGGAAATATCCCTCTGTTGATCTTGCACGAATACTTATTCTCTGGAAGCCGCTTAAACAATAAGCTTATTTTTGCACCCCAGAATTGAACACATGGAATAGGGGAGTTGGCTAGAATTCTTCCAGAGTAATACATTCCTTTTTTTGACTGTGCTCTGCTGATTATCTTTAAAGAATGCAAAATGTTTGGTTTTATTGCCTTTGTTTTTAAATAGCTACCGGCCAACTGGGAAACAGGCCAGTCAAAAGCCTTATTGCTGGAAAGATTCTGTTTGATGGATGCATTAAAAGACTTGTTTTGAGCTGCTGAGGTTGCTTCTGCTTTCATGGCACATTATTTCCCAACATAGGTATACCACAAAGCAACTTACATGAATTTCTGATAGTCAAGAAATCAGACAAGAAGATTGGTGCGGTGGCCTAGAGGTGGGGCTCTTGCCTCACAATCAGGAGGCTGTGAATTTGATCCTAGGTAGAGGTAGATATTTCTCTCTCTGGGCACAATGAGAATATATCTGCTGAACAAAGCTCCATGTTGGTGACAGGAAGGGCATCCGGCCATTAAACACTCTGCTAGCTCCATTCTGGAGACGAGACTAGTGAGTTGATTCTGGAGAAGAGCCTAATGCTGGGAAGGATTGAGGGCAAAAGAAGAAGGGGACGACAGAGAAGGAGGTGGTTGGATGGAGTCCCGAAGCAGTCAGCATGAGCTTAAATGGATTCCAGAGGATGGTAGAAGACAGGAAGGCCTGGAGGAACATTGTCCATGGGATCAAGATGGGTCAGACACGACTTCACAACTAACAACAACAAACATTCAGTTGCCCAAACTTCATCCGACAAAGGATTATGGGGTCGTTAAAAGATGATGAAGAAGAAGAAATCAGACAAGACACATTAAGAACGTGCCTTTGGTAGACATCTGTACAACATGGGTTGAATTGTATAGGAATTCAACAGGAAATCATGTAGTTGAGCTTGAACTGTTATAAGACAGAATCCCCATCCTCTGGTTAATTTTCCTTTTCATTTCCGCAGAAGAGGGCTTACAAAGTGCATAAAAACTCAATAAAATAAACCAACAATGAAAGTTGGATTTACTACAGAGGTGGGTATGTGTAGCTTGTTAGAGGTGAACTTGCTGACAGATAGTTAATTCCTACAGAGCTGCAAGATAACCTTTTAGGCAATATGGAACTCAGCCCAGCAAAAGCTATTAAATCATTCAAAGCTGTCCTTTCTGGTTTTTTGGCAGTCCCTTCCAGGAAACAAAAATAGGTTTAGCCAGTGCCATTAGCTAGCATTCATTCCTTAGTGTTTTGATTTAGTGGGACATAGAAATGAACAAAAATATGTTTCCATTACTGTAAGTCTGTTGAATTTAGTTTGCCCACAGCCTTCAGCCAAACATCACATGCCCCCTTGAGCTAATTTTGAAAGCCGCCTTGGGAAACTGTTAGTTTATGCCTTTGGCAGGCTGGTTGCAAAGGCCTCAAAAGTCCCATTTCTTACTCTCCAGGCAGATTACTACAGAAGAAGGTGAACAGAGAGCCAAAGAACTAAGCGTGATGTTCATTGAGACTAGCGCGAAGACGGGCTACAACGTGAAGCAGGTAATTTTAACTCCAGGTTTCCACAGAAATTGTTCCATCCGGTTTGAGACCCCCTCCTTAGTAAATGTGGACTTCTCTTGCTTAGCGCCAATACAAGATAGCTATCCCGTAGACTTGTATACCACTTCACAGTGTTTTATAGCCCTCTAAGCAGTTTACAGAGTCAGCCTATTGCCCCCAACAATCTGGGTCCTCATTTTACCCACCTTGGAAGGCTGAATCAACCTTGAGCCAGTCAGGATCGAACTGCTGGCAGTCAGCAGAATTAGCCCTACGCTAATAAAATGAAGATAGCAGTAGCACTTAGACTTATATACCGCTTCACAGTGCTTTACAGCCCTCTATAAGCACTTTACAGAGTCAGCATTTTGCCCTCAACAATCTGGGCCCTCATTTTACCCACCTTGGAAGGATGGAAGGCTGAGTCAACCTTGAGCCTGGTCAGATTCGATCTGCTGAACTGCTGGCAGCCGTCAGTCAGCAGAAGTAGCTTGCAGTACTGCACTCTGACCCCTGTGCCACCATGGCTTTATATAAGATGAGCTTTTCCAGCTTTTAATGTTTCATTTTTAGTATCTTTAAAAAAAGAGCAGATGCAATGTCATTCCTGATTTAAGGGCCTTTCATGCTAACTGCTCAAGTGCTTTTATCTATGTACATTGGATAGGGATATGTTTGAGTTCTTCTTTCACATCTATTCTCATGAGAATAACTTCATATCCCACTATAGACACAAGGTTTGTTGTCTTTCAGCTTTTCCGCCGTGTTGCTGCTGCCTTACCTGGGATGGATAACGCTCCCGAGAAGAGCAAAGATGACAGTATCCTTACCCTGCTGATCAGGAGCTTTGTCCTGTATTTACTAACTTTTTCTGTCTGTCATGTCATTTTTAGAGAGTTAGGTATCTAAATGGTTCTTTCCCCCCTCTCCGTCGGTGATCTTACAGGCAAATTGCAAAGGTCAAGCAATTTGCCATCTCAACCTTCAGACCTGTCAATTTTGCATGTGTCTAAAAGCACATTGAAAAGATTTTAAGGTCCAACCTATTACTTCTGGAAATAGAGTTAGGCCAGTTCACCTCTTTAGGACAGGGGTCCCCAATCCGCAGTCCACAACCTACTATCAGGCCATGGCCCTTTGGGAACCAGGCTGCCAAAACAGCAGGCAAGCGTGTGAGGTTTCATTTGTGTATGTATAGGATTTAGTTTGCTCATCCAAAATCATTCCTCCCACAATTGCTGTTGAAACCGCTGGAGCCACTGCCAGTCCGCAGAATCAAAAAGGTTAGAGACCCCTGCTTTGGAAGCTATTTCTGCTCTCTGAGCTTGGTTGTTTTCTTGTAGATGTTTCAGTACCCAAACTAGGTAACATCCTCAGTGCTATCATGCTACCTAGTTTGGATAATGAAACATCTGTAAGAAAACAACCAACCTCAGAGAGCACCAAGGAAGGAAGGAAGATAGCTATAGACTTATATACCACTTCACAGTGCTTTCTAGCCCGCTCTAAATGGTTTACAGAGTCAGCATATTTCACCCAACAATCTTGGTCCTCATTTTACTGACCCCAAAAGGACTAGTCAACCTGAAGCCTGTTGGGATTTGAACTTCCAAATTGCAGGCAGCTGGCAGTCAGCAGAAGTAGCCTGCAGTACTGCACTCTAACCACTGCGCTGCCGCGCCTCAAGCTCATTTGATGGGCTTTGTTAGATCAAAGAGATCTATTTGGTGTGTGTGTGTGTGTGAGTGTGTTTCAGCTTGTTCTCCCACCATAGAGGATGTTTTCCTTAACCTCGTCTCTCCAGTGATTGACATCAAACTAGAGAAACCTCCTGAGCAGCCCGTGACGGAGAATGGCTGTTCTTGTTAAATGTTCTCCAGCGTGGAACCCTCCCCCCTTCCCAGTTAGCCAGTTCAGTCTCTCACCGAAGAGCTCCACTTCTTACTGACTACCAAAACACGACTTTTACCATGGGCCGGAAGGCCACTTTATAATAGGCGATTGGAGTCATCTTGTCTCCTCCCCCCTCCCCCTCCTCCTCCCGCGTCGTGTGGACAAGCCCCAGTTGCTCCCGTTTACTGCATGGTGTGAACCCTCCAATGCCTCTTGCCCTTCGTTGGTTGTTGCACTTTGGTGCTGCTGTCGCACTCTTTTTTGCTCGGTTTTTCCTTGCTGGGTCGTCCTATGAATGTGCAAGGGAGGAACTTTGTCCATCTTAAAAAAAAAAAAAAAAAAGAACTACTCCGGACCCAATGTCCCTTTTTCTCTTTTAATATGTGCTTGGCAGCCTCTTCACCGAACGTTGGAAGCAAGCATTACCCGATTTGCGTGACCCGTCAAAACTGCGGCAGACTAAAGCGCGCCCGATTAAAGCGCATACGTGACGTCATCAGCAGCGCGACAAATACGACCGCGGAGAAAAAAGGGGGCTTTAAAAAGCGCTTTTAAAGCAAGCCGATTCACATAAAGGTAAGGGTTAGGTTTAGGGTTAGGTTAAGGGTTAGCGTTAGGTTTAGCGTTAGGTTAAGGGTTAGGCTTAGGTTTAGGGTTAGGTTAAGGGTTAGCGTTAGGTTTAGCGTTAGGTTAAGGGTTAGGCTTAGGTTTAGGGTTAGGTTAAGGG